GAGATAGCCCCACTTCATAAAGGAGGAAATAAGGCAGAGGCAAAAAATTGCAGACCGATAGCACTAACATCGCACATCATAAAAATTTTTGAGAGAGTGCTAAGAAGTAAGATCACAAAATACATGGAATCACAGCATCTCCATAACCCCGGACAACATGGTTTCAGAACAGGGCGCTCTTGCCTGTCACAGTTGCTGGACCACTATGATATGACATTAGATGCTATGGAAGACAAACAAAACGCTGATGTAATTTACACAGATTTCTCAAAAGCTTTTGATAAATGTGACCATGGCGTCATTGCACATAAAATGCGTTCAAAAGGAATTACCAGAAAAATAGGCAGATGGATCTACAATTTCCTGACCAACAGAACCCAATGTGTAATAGTCAACAAAATAAAATCCAGCCCATCAACCGTGAAGAGCTCAGTCCCCCAGGGTACTGTGCTTGCTCCAGTACTTTTTCTCATCCTCATATCGGACATAGACAAGAACACAACCTATAGCACTATATCATCCTTTGCAGATGACACTAGGATATTCATGAGAGTAGGCAACATAGAGGACACGGCAAACCTCCAGTCAGATGTAGATCAGGTCTTTCTATGGGCTACAGAAAATAATATGGTGTTTAATGAAGATAAGTTCCAGCTCATGCGCTATGGAAAAAATGAAAATATAAAAACGGAAACCACGTACAAAACTCAGGCAAATCATAACATAGAACGAAAAGGCAATGTAGCCGTCACAACTGCAAGAAAAATGACAGGTTGGATAACAAGAACTTTTCACACTAGAGATGCTATACCGATGATGACACTTTTCAAAACGCTTGTGTTCTCTAGAGTGGAGTATTGCTGCACAATGACAGCCCCTTTCAAAGCTGGAGAAATTGCTGACCTGGAGAGCGTGCAGAGATCCTTTACTGCTAGAATCCCCTCAGTAAAACATCTAAACTATTGGGACCAACTAAAGAGCCTAAATCTGTACTCCCTTGAGCGCAGACGGGAGAGATACATAATAATTTACACATGGAAAATATTAGAGGGGCTGGTCCCAAACCTGCACACAGAAATAACATCACATGAGACCAGAAGACATGGCAGGATGTGCAGAATACCCTTCTGCCGCTCTCGTGATTGATGGGTTCGGATCCTGGGAGTCTTGTGTTGGCTTCCTCTATGGGTTTTTCATGGTTCTGTGTCATGGCGCCTCCCTGAGCTCTCACTCGATGTGTTCACGGATGCCTCGTCTCTCGACTGAAGTTTTATGACAAGTGCTGAGGGTCGGTGGGGTCCGTCCTTCCATCGAGCTCACAGCACGGCGCGGGAGTTTGCTGTGGTGTGGCATTCGCTTCAGAGGATTTGCGTCGCTCGAGGGGCAATGATCCGGCTGTATTCGGACTGCTTCATGGTGGTTCATTGCCTGAACTGCGGGTGTTCGATGAGGTCCTTGGCTTTTTGGGGCTGGTCGCTTTGGGTAATTACCTAAGTGTAATTACCTAAGTGTAGTTACAGGATGAGAGCTAAGCTCGTGGTGTCCCGTCTTCCCAGCACTCTTTGCCATATAACGCTTTGAAACTACTGACGGTCTTGGCCTCCACCACCTTCTCACTTAACTTGTTCCAATCGTCTACCACTCTATTTGCGAAGGTGAATTTTCTTATATTTCTTCGGCATCTGTGTTTAGCTAGTTTAAATCTATGACCTCTTGTTCTAGAAGTGCCAGGTCTCAGGAAATCTTCCCTGTCGATTTTATCAATTCCTGTTACTATTTTGTATGTAGTGATCATATCACCTCTTTTTCTTCTGTCTTCTAGTTTTGGCATGTTTAATGCTTCTAACCTCTCCTCGTAGCTCTTACCCTTCAGTTCTGGGAGCCACTTAGTAGCATGTCTTTGCACCTTTTCCAGTTTGTTGATGTGCTTCTTAAGATATGGGCACCACACAACAGCTGCATATTCTAGCTTTGGCTTAACAAAAGTCATGAACAACTTCTTTAGTATATCGCCATCCATGTATTTAAATGCAATTCTGAAGTTAGAAAGCATAGCATAGGCTCCTTGCACAATATTCTTTATGTGGTCCTCAGGTGATAGTTTTCTATCTAGAACCACCCCTAGATCTCTTTCTTTATCAGAATTCTTTAAAGATTTCTCACATAATATATAGGTTGTGTGAGGTCTATGTTCTTCTATTCCACATGCCATAACATCACATTTATTAACATTAAATTCCATTTGCCAAGTGGTGCTCCATCTACTTATTTTGTCCAGGTCTTCTTGAAGGGCATGACAATCATCTAAATTTCTTATCCTTCCTATTATCTTAGCATCATCAGCAAACATGTTCATATAATTCTGTATACCAACTGGTAGATTATTTATGTAGACAATAACATCACTGGTGCAAGAACTGAACCCTGTGGTACTCCACTTGTGACATCTCTCCATTCCGATACATTGCCTCTGATTACTGCCCTCATTTTTCTATCAGTCAGAAAACTTTTCATCCATGATAAAAGCTTACCTGTCACCCCTCCAATATTTTCCAGTTTCCAGAACAACCTCTGCTCGAGACTGGGTGACTCGTCTGCTGAGTTTTTGGGGTTTGGCTCTCCTGGCAGTTCATGTTCAGGGGGTGTCGAACATCCTGGCGAACAGCCTGTCTCAGTTCATTCCCCTTTCCATGGAATGGATGGTTGAAGCCGACTCATTCAGTTGGCTCTGCCGGACGTACGGGCATCCAGAAGTGGACCTCTTCACATCGGCATGTTTGAGGCATCTTCCAGTTTATGTGGCGCCCTTTCCAGACTGCGAGGCCGTCCGGGTCGATGCCTTTCGGCTGGACTGGTCGAGGTGGAATTACCTGTACCTCTTCCCACCAGTTTGGTTGTTGCTCCGGATCCTGGCTCGGTTGGAGACTTACCAGGGGAGAGTAGTCCTGTTGGCTCCTTGGTGGCCGGCCCAGCCCTGGTTTCAGCCGCTTCTTGCTCGATGTCCAAGGGTCTTTCCCCGGCTCCACCTTTTTCAGCAGATCGGTCTGGTCCAGTACCTGGCTGGTTCGATATTCTCCTCCACTCTTTGCGTCTGGTCTTTTTGACGTGTATGTATCACCACTTGTATGGTGATCAGGTGGCTTCATTGATGGTGTCCCACCTGCGAGTTTCGTCTAGATGGCAGTATGAAATTTCCTGGCAGTCCTTTCGGCATTTTGTGTCTCTTCGTAGGTTGTCTTCGATTTCTGATCGGGTTGTTTTGTCCTTTCTCTCTTGGTTGTTTCAGGACCGTCATCTTATGCCAAATACTGTCGCCTCGTATCGTGCAGCGCTAGCGGAGCCGCTGCAGCTTGCATTCGCGGTGGATGTCACTTCTGCTCCATTCCGCAAGATTTCTCGGGCGTTGTTTCACCTCCAGCCTCCTCTTGCACCGCCTGAGCTGTCCTGGTCGTTGGACCAATGCTCTCTTTTCTCTCTTCTCCTCAGTTTGTGGTGGCCCCCTCGGTTCTGGACTGTTTTTCTAAGGCTCTTTTCTTGTTGGCATTGGCCTCTGGGGGTTGGGTCGAGGAGCTTCATGTTCTCCGGCGCAGGGGTTTCTGCTCTTTCGGTCCTGGTGGTCGTTTCGTTCATTTGCACCCTTCTTCTTCTTTTCCGGCGAAGAATGAGTCTGCGGCTTTCTGATGGGGTCTTTGGGTTGTTGATGCTTGGTTGCTTCGGCCGGGGGTACATCATATTTTGAGTCCGGTTGCCGCTCTTCGCCGTTATCTGCGTGCCATGGCCTCTGTGGTAGGAGACACGCTTTGGGTGGACCCGGTTTCCCTTCTTCCCTGTTCCAGGGTGCGTGTCTCCCAGGTTATCCACAGGATTATATGGTCCAGCCAGCCTGCAGTCTATCCCCGTACCCACGACGTTCGTAAGCACATGGCTTTGGCTGCTATTTTTGGAAATATGTCCTGGGCTGACATTCGGGCATGGGGCTTTTGGAGGTCGAACAGGGTCCTGGCTGCACAGTATCTCGTTAATGTTCCCGGCCCTTCTCGGGTGTGAGTAGCCTTGGGTTGCAGGTTACAGCCAGTTGTCTCGACTTTGAGTTGAGGAGCGAGTGATGACCGCCTCCCAGGTTAAGTCCCTTTTTTCTTTATCTTTGGTTAGGTAGCTCCGGGGAGCCGAAGGGGCCCTCCACAGAAAACCAGCGTTGAATGTAATGAAACTCCATTTTCTGGGTCTCACCCAGAAAATGGCATTTCATTACATTCATCCCCGGCATCCCTTCCTCTCTTCGGTCAGCGTTTTTCTTTCGTGTTTTTGATACTCAGCCTCTGAACTGAGGAGAGTTGCTGGCGTGGAGATCTGGCACCTCCCCATCCCCCTTCCGGGGAGGGAAGGTTGGACAGACTGTTGCGCAGCGTGTGTGGTGACGTCATACTTGTTTCCTTGGTTTTGATTGGAGAGTTCTGTTGCTAGTTCGGCTTTTGGTTTGCAAATTATTTAATCAGCAGTAGTTTGTTTTGAAATTCCTACCTTTCTGGGTGCCTGACCTGGTAGATGGCAGACAAAGACTGCTTCCAATTACACTGGGGTGTTTTTAGGCCATTGCTCCTCGTGCCTCTCTTGAGGGGGCCAGGTTCTGGCTCTTGTTCCCAGTAGGCCTAGAACTCCTTCGATTGACTATTGCCACAGTCTAATATATACACATCAGCCCGGTATAGCTCCGGGGAGCCTCTGGGTCTCACCCCAGAAAATGGTGTTTCATTACATTCAACTCTGGTTTTTTGATTTAGTGCGTGGAAATTTGAATTATATTGATTGTGGTACAAACAAAATTGAGAATATGGTAATTTTCGGACTTTTTTGTTATGAATGTTGCTTATATAAATGTTTGTCTTATCTGGTGAGGGTTTCTTCCCATATGGACCGGGTAAGTGAGCTTAAGACAATATATGATTACAGTACTAGGTTAACTACTTAACAACATTCAGGTAATACTGTACTGTATTCACCTCTGAATATCAGCATAATAAATGAACTGTGAGTGAACATCATAGTCGAGGGTTGTTGGTCGGGTGAGGGACGAGATGGGCACCATGACTTCTGATGACCCAGCCTTATCCAACGCTACGCCTTTGATCATTCCCGGTCGACCTTTTGCATAAATCAAGAAGGCCTCGTGTTCGTGTGCTGCAAAAGATGATATATAAACGAATCAAATCAAATATAAATCTAGTAAGTTAATTTAATTTCTCACAACTGAATCACAAGAACAGGATGTATCTATGAGAAAATATTGAGGTAATATGATAGGTTCATACCCACATAACTGGACACCTCAGTCAGAGGCACTACTGACGAAACCCACTCATGTATCAGGCCAGTCCAGGGATGCAGGTTTAATCCCATCATGTGGCCTTAATATTTTCTCAAATAAGTTTTGTTCAAGTGATGCATTTTAATTATATTAAACCCTTGGAACATCTGAACAACAATACTATTGCTATAATCTCTCATTCTATCTTTCCACCAAACTCTTATTTATCTTACTGGAATGGCCCCCCTAGGTAGTGCCAATGATATTATGCTCTGGCTCTCTAGGGACATGCTGAGCATACCAGATTCTTATTATTTCTCAGGCCAAAGACTGGGGTGCGGGGATGTTGATCCACGGAACTAATGCAAAGTTATACCCATAGAAGACAAACACCTTTCAAACATCTTTTCTATAGGGCAGGAAGAAGCACATGGGACTCAATGATCAACCCACTATCAAGATGAGCCACCCACTGAGAAATGTATAATAAATCACAAAACAATGTTTGGCATCACACTGACCACAAAAATTAAACAAGTCTGGCATCCTACTCTTGCATTGACAACTTCTGTGCTGACCAATATGCTGCTTCTAGTAATGTGTCTAGTTCTCCATTGCGCATACAGATCCATATACATTCACAATGTGTATGCTGGTTCTTTTAAATGCGTCTTGCTATCAAAGTCCACATCAGCTTTTAAGTTCCAGGATAACCTTTCTTGGTGCCATTAGCAAAGAGTGATAAATAATATTCTCTTGAGATTTTTTTTATCCTCCCTTGGTATTGTTCTCATGTCAATTCTGCAACAGTTAATACTTCAGCAACTGCTGACAGAGGCAAAGCCCATTCAGTGGAAGTCAGAATTAGAATTTATGCAAGCGTCTGCATGCTGGGCTGTGTGTGTGTCTTACTTGCGGGCACCACAGCTGTTACGTGGACGTCTTTTTGTGATAGATGTCCTTTGTGTACGTTTCTCTCGCATCCAATGACCTCTAAACTGTATTGTTCAGTGGACATATGAGTTTCCTGTACATGAGTGGCATTTACATTCCTGAAGATACCACTTCCCTTGGCTTCTCTTGCACTAGGGTGTCCCTGAGTTTGGTGGTTTCATGCCGAGTATGTTTGCAGAAGTGGGTAGACTAGATGTTTTGTATCTTGGTCATATTTTTCTTTGGCTGTAAAATCATAGGTTCTTTCCTGATGCAGTAAGTGATGTGAGCCATTACACTTTCTTTTGCCAGATGAGCATCCAAGATCACTGGGAGAGCACCATACAGGTGGAGCTTAGCACTTTTGGCTGGGTTACAACTGAAAGAAGTGTTAGGGTTTATCACATCATTATTCAGTGTCTCCTTACACCTCCTCTTGTTCAATGTGAGTAACAGAATTGACTGTTGGTAGCCATGCATGTGTTTTCATGTTAATGAACATGCAGAGACTATTTCTTAATTATACACTCAAATGAGACTGATTTAGCAGAAGTTGGTGATTGGTTGTGCAATATTTCTAATTTGGTTAGGCGCTGAAATCTAGAAATCTAGAAACCTAACAGGATACAGAAGGGCACCTGTGGCAGGGGGGAGGTGAATAGAGGAATGCGACTCAAACACAGATGGAGGAAGAAAACCCCCAGCCCAAAGCAAAATACATTTTGTAGATAGAAACAAATACCCAACAATGATTGAGGGGACCCAGGAACCCTCCCCAGGCTCCCATCATCCCCCTAGTCCCAGAAGTCCATAACAAGGACCTCGGTGCAGAGCTGAGCTCCGTTCTTGATGCCTAAACAGACAGGAAGGCATCACCAACAATCGAGGATCCAAGCCAGACACCCCCCTCCCCCCCCGCCCCAGAGAAGAAAACAGCCCAGATACCCAGCAGGAAGTTACAGGTCAACTATCTCTGGAGTCACAGTGAAAGGGGCAAACCCTCCCCCCCCCCCCTCTCCTTCCCCAGAGGAGGCCATGCTAGAATGCATGGCCTCAACAAATACTCAACAAATGCAACCCAGGTTCTAAAACCTGCAACAATTCTGGAACCCGGAGCAAGGTCCAAGAGTGGAAAGACAAGTGGTCCACACAACAAAGTTAGACAGACAATGGAAGGAAAAGCAGTAAAAAGCATACCAGCATAAACTCAACTGCTCCAACACCTGTATCGCTGACAAGTGTAATAGTCAAAAACTGTGAAAAATAATTAAAACTAAATGGGTAGAACACCTGGAGAGAAACGATATAATATCAAACCGTCAGTATGGTTCTCGATCTGGAAGATCCTGTGTAACAAATTTACTCAGTTTCTATGATCGAGCAACAGAGATATTACAGGAAAGAGATGGTTGGGTTGACTGCATCTATCTGGACCTAAAAGAGGCATTCGACAGAGTTTCACATAAGAGGTTGTTCTGGGAACTGGAAAATATTAGAGGTGTGACAAATAAGCTTCAAACATGGATGAAAAATTTTCTGATAGAAAAATGAGGGCAGTAATCAGAGGCAGTGTTTCGGACTGGAGAAATGTCACAAGTGGAGTACCACAGGGTTCAGTTCTTGCGTCGGTGATGTTCATTGTCTACATAAATGAACTGCCCGATGGAATACAGAATTATATGAACATGTTTCCTGATGATGCTAAGATAATAGGAAGTATAAGAAACTTAGATGATTGTCATGCCTTCAAGAAGACCTGGACAAAATAAGTATATGGAGCACCCCATGGCAAATGGAATTTAATGTGAATAAATGCCATGTTATGGAATGTGGAATAGGTGAACATAGACCCCACAACCTATAAATTATGTGAAAAATCTTTAAAGACTTCTGATAAAGAAAGAGATCTAGGGGTGGTTCTAGATAGAAAACTATCACCTGAGGACCACATAAAGAACGTTGTGCGAGGAGCCTATGACACACTTTCTAACTTCAGAATTGCTTTTAAATACATGGATGGTGAAATACTAAAGAAATTGTTCACGACTTTTGTTAGGCCAAAGCTAGAATATGCAGCGGTTGTGTGGTGCCCATATCTTAAGAAGCACATCAACAAACTGGAAAAGGTGCAAAGACATGCTTCTAAATGGCTCCCAAAACTGAAGGGCAAGAGCTACGAGGAGAGGTTAGAAGCATTAAATATGCCAAAACTAGAAGATAGAAGGAAAAAGAGGAGATATGATCACTACATACAAAATAGTAACAGGAATTGTAAAATTGATAGGGAAGATTTCCTGAGACCTTGAACTTCAAGAACAAGAGGTCATAGATTTAAACTAACTAAACAAAGATGCTGAAGAAATATATGAAAATTCACTTTTGCAAACAGAGTGGTAGACGGTTGGAACAAGTTAAGTGAGAAGGTGGTGGAGGGCAAGACCATCAGTAGTTTCAAAGCGTTATATCACAAAGAGTGCTAGGAAGACGGGACACCACGAGCTTAGCTCTCCTCCTGTAACTACACTTAGGTAATTACCAGAACCCCCAAACAAAACAGGCTGACCCCAAGGAAACTACATGTGCACCAAGCCACTCATACAAAAGCTCAAATGATTCCGAAGTGATGGACACCTCTGGAGCCTCATCATCACAAAACCAAAGAAACACAAATAAAAGATGAAGGAATGAATGAAAAGAGCAGATCAGCAAACCCCACCACCGCAGGCTGTGGGATAGAATATAATACCTGCTTGATAGCTGCTTGATGGAGTTCTGGGAGTTCTTCTACTCCCCAAGCCCGGCCCGAGGCCAGGCTCGACTTGTGAGAGTTTGGTCCACTAGACTGTTGCTTGGAGCAGCCCACGGACCCATATAACCACCACAGCCCGGTTGGTCTGGCACTCCTTGAAGAAAACTATCTAGTTTTCTTTTGAAGTTGTTCATGGTTGTTCCGGCAATATTTCTTATGCTCGCTGGGAGGATGTTGAACAACCGCGAACCTCTGATGTTTATACAGTGTTCTCTGATTGAGCCTATGGCACCTCTGCTCTTCACTGGTTCTATTCTACATTTTCTTCCATATCGTTCACTCCAGTATGTTGTTATTTTACTGTGCAGATTTGGAACCTGTCCCTCCAGTATTTTCCACGTGTATATTATTTGATATCTCTCCCCGTTGTCTTTCTAGCGAGTACATTTGGAGAGCTTTGAGACGATCCCAAAAATTTTGATGCTTTATCGCGTCTATGTATGCCGTATATGTTCTCTGTATTCTCGCAATTTCAGCAATCTCTCCTGCTCTGATTGGGGAAGTGAGTACTGAGCAGTACTCAAGACGGGACAACACAAGTGATTTGAGGAGTACAACCATTGTGATGGGATCCCTGGATTTAAAAGTTCTCATAATCCATCCTATCATTTTTCTGGCTGCTGCAATATTTGCTTGGCTATGTTCCCTAAACGTTAGGTTGTCAGACATCATTATCCCCAAATCCTTTATATGTTGCTTTCCTACTATGGGCAAATTTGACTGTGTTTTGTACCCTGTATTATGCTTAAGGTTCTCATTTTTACCGTAACTGAGTACAGTGGTACCTCGGCTTATGAATGTCCCTCCTTACAAACTTTTCGTGTTACGAGCCCGATTTCGTCGGAAAATTTGAATCAGGTTACGAACTTTACCTCGGGAAACGAGTTTGTTGATATTCATATGGCTGACCTAGCGCATGGTGGCACGACGATCGCACCTCAGTTTACCAGTGCCTCCCGCCTAGTGACTATCGTGCTTGAATTCTTTGGAAGGATTTACATTTTTTTCGGATTTTTAGCTATTTGAACATAAAATTTATTATTATATATCTCGCCATGGGGTCCCAAGAAAACCAGTGGTAAGGTTCTAGGGAAGAAAACACATGTAAGAATGATCATAGAGGAAAAACAA